GAGATTCTTGCATGTTGTATTAATGGCATGTTCTTAGAGTTCATTTTGATTTTGCACAAATTGGGTTACTCTTGGGCCATGATTTCTTGAAATGATTTTTAATACTTGTTGTTTTATGAGTTATTTTATGTTTCCTCAAACATTGGCCCAGAAAAATGAGTTTTGAAGGCTTAAAGGTTAAGTTTCATGCTTGGAGGTCAATCTGGATTTTCCAGAAATTTGACCCACGCTCGAGCGGGTACTTTCACGCTCGAGCGTGAATCCTGAGTACATGCACTTCCACTTGAGCGTCGATAGTTACGCTCGAGCGTGAAATGCGTATACCCAGAAGTTTGTGTGTTTTGCAGTCCGCTCGAGTGGAGGGGAACCCACGCTCGAGCGAGACTTTAAGTCTCATGCTCGAGCTGAGGTCGAGCGCCCGTCGAGCGTGAAAATCATGCATCTAGTACTTTTGTCGATTTTACAGTCCGCTCGAGCGAGGAAGTTTACGCTCGAGCGGAGCTTCAATATCTGCATGTCCGCTCGAGCGAGGTAATCTACACTCGAGCGTGGACCTTATCTTCAGCAAAATTTAGGAAATGGTTTTCAAGGCATTTTTGCATCTTCATTCCATCATAGCCATTCCTAGGCCATGTTTAAGGCCTTTTAATGAGGATTAAAGGTTAGAAACACACTAAGAGCCAACGACGTAAGTTTTGTACAATTAGAACGTGTGTTTCAAGTGTGTATCTGTTATGTGTTATGTAGGTCACGTGCCGCGTTCTGTCTGACTAATCTGCTCCGTCTGTTTGTCTTAAGGCCAACTGTGAGTAATAACTTAGTAAAGTTATGTTCAACTGTATCTTTTTTCTGTTTGATAAAATAAGATCTGTTTTCCGAAATGATATGTTCTGTACAATGCATGATTGTTCAATTTCTGATATGTATTCGTGACATCCTTAGCATCATGTGATATTTATTGGCTGTTACCCGGTATCGGAGGTTCCTTTATGGAACCTATATCCGTCTGCACTCTGTTACCCGTACCGGAGGCCCCGTCATGGGGGCTTAGCTTCTGTTCTGTTACCCGGATCCGGAGGTTCCTTTAAGGAACTGATTACTTGTAACCCTCACGTGTTTGCCTCTGTTCTGTATCTGCTCTGTTATTGCTAATAGATGTATCACGTAAACTCAAGCATGACTTACTATTTCTGTATATGATCTGGACCAATTATGGATTTGATACGAAACTGAATTATGATTTCTGAATCTGTACGGACTCATTCATTGAAACCCCTTTACTCTGTTATTATTCACTGGGCTTTCGCTCACAGTTTATATTATGTATGTAGGTGAGCCGGTGTGTGACCAGGGCCAGAGTTGACGGCCTTCTATTCTGTTTTTGTCAGCCAACCGTTGTGCCTCCCGAGGAGGTTCTGATCGAAGTCTATTGCCATGGCTGCTTTTGTATTCATGCTAGTCTCTGTGACTATTTTGTAAAGTCAGGTCTTGGGATGTACACTTCTGTAAATACGTTATAAATATTAGCGTCCTTTGACTGGCATGCTCATGTATATATATCTAAGTTATGAAATCTACTGTCTCATGTACGTTACCACAGCTCATTGGACCTTGTCTATTTTATATATTTGCTTCCGCAGCCCTTTATTATTTGCTAATCTGTCAAGAGGCCTTTGGTAATCCAAGGATTACTGGCCGGTTACGATGTCAGACCTACAGGGGCGGGTTTGGGTCGTGATAATGCGTACCTCTACCAAGTCTTCAACTGATTTCTCCTCTGCCTTTCTTCCTACGTCTTCCAGGACTTCTTTTCCCTCCGAGCCCTCTATCATTTGAACGAAGCCTTTGGCGGCTCGGCCGCTGTTCACCGTAACGAAGCACTGTTTTGCCATTACCTGTTCTCGCCAAACCTCTTCTACCTGCCCGGTTTGCGCTGGGAAGCGCAGAACCTGATGGTAGGTCGACGCTACTGTTTGCATGGCGTGCAACCAGCTCCTGCCCAAAATTAATTTGTAGGTCGATGGGACTTTAAGCACCCAAAACTCCACTTGCTTCATGACTGATCCCGCTCTGACCAGCAGTATGATCTTTCCGATCGGCCATTCTGGTTGAGAGTTAAAGCCAACCAATAGAGACGTTGCAGGGGCCAAGTCCTTGTCCTCCAACTTCATTTGTTTGAACGCGTCATAGTACATGATTTTGACCGAACTCCCCTGGTCAATCAAAATCCTCTTAATGTCGAAGTCTTTGACGCGAAGAGTCACTACCAAGGTGTCGTTGTGGGGCATTTGAATTCTCTCCAAGTCCTTACTTGAAAAGGTAAGGATATCTTATTCTTCGGTCTTTCTTCTCTTCACAGCGGGCTAAACAGAGAGCACCTCCCTCTTGTGCTTGGCTTTCTTGATCATCCCACTCAGCTTGCAGACCCGTGTCGGTTCAATGATGCCATGAATGACATTGATTACGCCTCGCGGCACTGCGTCTAGGGCGGCTAGGCTGTTTGGCTCGGTTTGTCCCAGTGGAGCGGCTTTCTGTAACAACCTCAATCTCTGATTAACGTTAATCCATGATTAATTATGCCTAGTTAGCAATTGAAGTAAATTCTGCATTAAACTGCATGTGTGTGATGCATTGTTTGTGTCTATATCTGTTAGGCACAAAAAGATCTGTACACGTTTTAGTTTTGGTTTGCGAATTGAAAGCCTTATTGGCGTCCGAATCAGAAATTGACTTGATTTATGTGCTAGTTAGGATTTATAGAATTTTATGGTATGTTTAATTAAAATTCGATTCAGAACGATTAAATTAGAATAAATGAGGTTAAATTACATTAGTTTGAGTTTATTTCATTCTTGCCATTAGTGGGCCACTTTCAAAAGTTTTGTTTGAGGCTTAATTCATACACTTTGATTCCCCACTCTTCTCCATCCACAAGACGAAACCGAGAGAGAGAGGGAGAGTAGGAGAAAAGTTTTGATTCAACAAGAGTTGGCTTTGGAAGTTAGAAGAATTGATGAGAACTTGCAAAATTGGGTTGGCATACTTGGAATGCAAGACTTAAGGTAGGAAATTCATTCTTTTAATTGTGAATTTAGGTTGTTCATGCATGAATTCAAGTAAATTGAGCTATAGGATGTGAGAATCAAGCTTAAGGAGTAGGGAAGTAGATCAATCCATGCATGCATGAATGTTTCATAGCATTTTGAAGATTGATTTCCAAGAATTCCTTCATGCATGTGTTGAATTCACTCTAATTTTGGAAACACAATAAGTTTCATGTTATTTAGTAGCATTTGATCATGTTTTGGAGAGCCTTAGCTCAAAAATGTTCATGCATGTTATGTTCACAAATTAATTTCAAGTTTCAAGTTGAATGTTGTTCAATTGGCATACTTCTAGGGTTTGATTTTGTAAAATGATCTTCAAAACATGTTGTTTTATGAGTTTTCATGTATTTCCTCAAGTTTTGGGCCCAGAAAATTGAGTTTGTTGCATTTGGAGTTGAGTTTGGGCTTGGTGATCAAATCTGGAATTTCTAGAAATTTGATCCATGCTCGAGCGTACACTCTGAGTACGTGCACTTCCGCTCGAGCGACGATATTTACGCTCGAGTGTGAAATGCATATACCCAGAAGTTCTTGTGTTTTACAGTCCGCTCGAGCGAGGGAATCCACGCTCGAGCGAGGTTTTGAGTCTCACGCTCGAGCGCCCGTCGAGCATGAAAATCTTGCATCCAGCACTTTTTCAAGAGTTTACAGTCCGCTCGAGCGGAGCTTCATTGTCTACATGTCCGCTCGAGCGGGGAACGCCACGCTCGAGCGTGGACCTTATTTTCAGCAAGTTTCAAGAAATATTTTCCAATGCATTCTTGCATCCTCATTCCATCCTAAGCATTCCTATGCCATGTTTAAGACTCCATAATGAGGATTAAAGGTTAGAAACACACTAAGAGCACGACATAAGTTATGTACAATTAGAACGTGTGTTTCAAGTGTGTGTCTGTTATGTGTTATGTAGGTCATGTGCCGCGTATCGTTTGACCAATCTGCTCCGTCTATCTATCTCAAGGCCAACTGTGAGTAATAACGTAGTAAAGTTATGTTCAACTGTATTTATTTTCTGTGTGATAAAATAAGATCTGTTTTCTAAAGTGCTATGTTCTGTACAATGAATGACTGTCAAATTTTTGATATGTATTCGTGACATCCTTAGCATCATGTGATATGTGTTGGCTGTTACCCGGTATCAGAGGTTCCATCATGGAACTTAATCTGTCTGCACTCTGTTACCCGTACAGGAGGCTCCATCATGGGGCTCAGCATATTTATTCTCTGTTACCGGGATCTGGAGGTTCCGTTATGGAACTGGTTATTCATAACCCTAACGTGTCTGCATCTGTTCTGTATCTGCTCTGTTAATGCTAATGGATGTATCATGTATACTTAAGCATACCTTATGATTTCTGTATATGATCTGGACAAATTACGAATTTGATACGAAACTGAATTATGATTTTTGAATCTGTACGGACTCATTCATTGAAACCCCTTTACTCTGTTATTGTTCATTGAGCTTTCGCTCACAGTTTATATTATGTATGTAGGTGAGCCAGCGTGTGATCAGGGCCAGAGTTGACGGCCTATCTCTATTTTGTTAGCCAACCGTTGTGCCTCCCGAGGAGGTTCCGATCGAAGTCTAGTTACATGGTTGTTTTTGTACCTATGCTAGTCTCTGTCTTTTTCTGAAGTCGGGTCGTGGGGATTACACTTTTGTAAATATTGATGTCCTTCGACCGACACGCTTATGTATATGTAAGTTTTGAAATCTTCTGTCCCATGTTTGTTATCACAGCTCATTGGACCTTGTCTATTTTGTATAATTGCTTCTGCAGCCGCTTATTATGTGCTTATCTGTTCAGAGGCCTTTGGTAATCCACGGATTACTGGCCGGTTACGATGCTAAACCTACAAGGGCGGGTTTGGGTCGTGACACTTTCATACCCCCATCTATGTATTGGTCCAGATGTCCCGCCGCCACCAACTCCTCCAAATGTTGTTTGAGCGGCAAGCAGTCCTCCGTCCGGTGCCCCCGTTCTTTATGGAAGGTGCAACGATATCTTGAGTTGGAGCCCCTCTGTGTATTCCCCAACTTGGCCGGCCAACGAATGAATGGTTCACCTCGGATTTCACTCAGGATGCGGTAAATAGGGATTTTAAAGACTGTGGTGATACCAGTTCGCACTTTCAATTTTCTCTTAGCATCTTCCTTTTCATTGCAATGAGCGTTAGCTCGGTCGTTTCTGCAACCTTTGCTTCTATCATCGCGGTTTGAGCCACGACGTTGATCTTTTGATCGGTCGTTCAGGCGGTTATCCTCCTGCCCCACCGAGTGAACCTTTCCCGCCATTCTTCTGTCCGCTGCGACCGGATTAGCCTTCTCGGTTGCGGAAGCGGCATCATCCTCCCCACGGATGTGTTCGTTGATTCGTTGCATTAAGGACTCCATGGTTGCGGGTTGGTGCATCGTAAACGAATCTCGCAGCCTATGTCCGACTGGGAGACCACGCTTGTATTGAGTAATGGCCAGATTGGTAGGGCAGTCGAGGATCTCGTTGTAACTTTTCCAGTACTTCGCATTGTACGCCTTCAGCGAACCTCCAGACTCTATCTTGACGCCTAGGAAATGGTTGACCTTCTTTGACGTTCGAGTGTTGGTTTTGAATCTGGTGACGAAGGCTTTCGCTAGTTGCTGCCATCCCTCGATACTCTCCTCTGGAAGCCTTTCGAACCATTTCAGGCCCAACTCTCCTAAACTTGCTGGGAATATGAGGCACATCAGGGCGTCATTGCGCCGGTGCGCAGCCATTACTTGCCGGTAATGACTCACGTGCATGTACGGGTCCGTCCTGCCGTCGTACAACGTAAACTTAGGTTGGTGGAATCTGGCAGGGAGTGGTGTACTCTCGATTTCTGGAGACAGCGGTGTAGCTGTAAGTCTCGCTAGCTCTTTGTCTACAAGTGTTGGGGCCACTACTCTGGGTGTTGGCATTACCACTTTCTCACTACAACGAGTTTGGGAGCTTAGCCTCTGCAATGCCAGCAATCTCTGAGTCTCCCTACGGCGAGCCCTCTCCTCCAATACGTCCCTCAGGTCTCCCGAATGGGCGGAAAAGGAGTATCGCGATGTTGACGATGGGCGTAAGGGATGGTAGGTGCTGTCGCGAGTGTGAGATTTGCCTACCTGTGGGTCGAAGTCCCCAATCCCATAGCTTCTGGTGATAGAGAGAGAGTGCGTCCTTTCTTGGCGGCGACTGCCAGAGTGAAGAGATGGGGTGCGCTCACTGAGGCTGCCCTCTCCAGTAACACCCTTCCCCTTGATCTAGCGTTTCAGCACCTCCATCTCTGCCTCCATCTTGTGAATGAAGGTGTCCTGGTCTTTGAGTTTATGCTCCAGGCACTGTGCATGCGACTCCCCCCGCCGTCGACGGCCCTTTGGACTCTTTGAGCGATCAATATTCCTTGCACGTTTGTCACGCGCACCTTTCGAAGAGGTCTCCAGGTCCGCCATGGCTGGAATAGCATGGGGACCTTCTCTCCGTTGAACAGACTCCAGTGTGACACCATCGATGACGGACAGTGGAGTTTCATCGTTGTTAGCCATGGAAACAGTCGAAAAAGCTTGAAGATGAAGGTTTGTAGCTCAAGTTTTTCCCACAGACAGCACCAATTGTACAGGGACGAAATATCCTTTTCTTTCCGTACTCCTCGAACTCAAGCTCCACGTAACATTGCTTGGCCTGAAAACAGAAAGACGGTGAGCTGCCCGGTGGTGTGTTGACGGATAGTCCCTCTGATGATCAAGTTAGACCACTTGAAGAAGAAGAGAGCACTTTTAGGGAGAGAAAAAGTTGTTCAGATTGCTTACCTTCAACGTCCCTCATTTCTCCTTCTTTTAGGCTGGCCATGTAGCCTCAGGGATTGTGCGCTCACTACCTCTGCTGTCCTTCCCTGGACAGGTGGCAGTGCTCGCTTCTCACTACCTTACGTGTGTAAAGGCCAAAACCTCCAAACAGCATGTGTGGAACTGCCAAACAGTATTGACGCGTGCTAGGAGTGGATTTTCCCTCCTTCACACCAGTGGTCCAGATGGCACGCTTAACCGGGATATCATGACCGACCTATCCCTTGGAAAGAAACACCACCATGACCAAGGCAACCGAACTGTAAAAGGTCGGTCCATCTGAACTGACTGACCGTGAGGCATGCCGGCCTATCCCTTGGAGAGAAACACCACCACGACCAAGACGACCGAACTGTAAGAGGTCGATCCATTCAAATTAACTGACCGTGAGGCATGCCGGCCCTCGTCCCGGTCCAAATTCATTCCAGGCTGTGTTTGGCTTGGTCCAGACGCACCATTGCGGGTCCAACCGAGTACTTAGCCGAATCACAGCCTGGTTGTACACATGCACGTCTTCGCACTCTAGCTAGCGACATAACTCGGCCAAACACGATAGCCGGGGAGGCCATCTCCCTCTCAATTGCCCCCTTAATCCCATCCAAGCCGAGCATGATTTGGGATTATCTTTCTGACCGGGCTATTAAGATTGGTCGGTAATCGGGGGTTGCGCCAGTAGTCTTGTCATCGATCGTACAACCGTACTGACAGAGCCGTCTTTTCGACACCACGTGGCCTCACGCCATTGGCCCCGTACAGCCCCATAGCTATCTTCCTCACGCGCAAAATTCAAATGGTTGCCGCCCTTTGGCTTCCCCTCCACTGGTCCAGATGGCACGCTTAACCGGGATATCATGACCGACCTATCCCTTGGAAAGAAACACCACCATGACCAAGGCAACCGAACTGTAAAAGGTCGGTCCATCTGAACTGACTGACCGTGAGGCATGCCGGCCTATCCCTTGGAGAGAAACACCACCACGACCAAGACGACCGAACTGTAAGAGGTCGGTCCATCCAAATTAACTGACCGTGAGGCATGCCGGCCCTCGTCCCAGTCCAAATTCATTCCAGGCTGTGTTTGGCTTGGTCCAGACGCACCATTGCGGGTCCAACCGAGTACTTAGCCGAATCACAGCCTGGTTGTACACATGCACGTCTTCGCACTCTGGCTAGCGACATAGCTTGGCCAAACACGATAGCTCGGGAGGCTGTGCAGATTTGGTTCGGCACCATGGCCCGGTGCAAATCTCCCTCTCAAACACTATACAAAATTTTGTTTATTTATTTTTTCTCACTTATAAAATACGAAGACAGTTATAACGTTGTCTCTCTTACATTGTATAAATTATTTGTTTTATTATTATTAATTATTTTATAAAAAAAATGTAAATAGTCTAATTTTAACAAATTAATTAACTTAACTGCACTAAAAAAAGAAGCCAAAAAAAAATTGAAATTTATGTGCAATTCGGGTAATTTGAGCAATTCGAGTTTAACTCAGATTGGGCTTTGGGTAGACAACATTGGTTACAATTCTAGCTTGGCATGGGCCTGGGTAGCTCTCAGCCCAATTTGGGCTCGGCTTGGACAACCTCTCAACCTAATTTGCACCCCTAATTTGGATCATAAATTTGGGTAAGATTTTGAAAGATAAAGAAGAAAGGAGGATGACATGTAACTATACCAAAAACTTACATTTTCCTTCTCTTTTTTTAAATCGCTACCAAAATTTATGATTCAAACATAACATTAGAGACCACCGAGGGTGGTGGCCCAGTGGTGAAGGCGTTGCCTTTCCACAGCCATGAGTTAAGTTCGACTCCTGGGGGGCGCGAAAAGTCCTAGATTTTCCAGGGACTCTCTTTGGAGATCTCGCGCTATACTCTGATCGAAACTTGGCCGTGGCTAGGGCAGTTGATGAGCTCCATCGATGCCTCGGTGGTGGGTCTCTTCCTATGGGTTAGGTTAAATCAGGCTGGCAACCGGCTACCCCGAGGCCTGGGCTTACGGATGTAGTGATGACACCTCAGAACATCATTTTCTTCATGTTCAAAAAAAAAAAAAAAAAAAAAAAAAAAAACAACAACAAAAACAACATTAGAGACATACTTGAAATAATTAGATTACATCCAATACAACTTGAAATGATACCTATACTTACATGGGACAATTAGTGTACAGTTAGTTCAGAAAAAATTAATTACACATCAATGAAAAAGTTTATATAATTAATTATTAATATTTATAATATTTTTATTTATTTGTAAATTGTTTTCGACTGTTCAATATCAGAGTAATTCCCCATACATTACATAATATCGGTAGCATAGTCTAAACTCGATCAACCCGACCCGATTGTCCATGGGTGCATCCGTGGTGCAAGCCATATTATTGAAAAGTTATTTAGTGTTTTTGGGACGTCACGTGTTCGTGTTACTTACCAATTATTATATAGCATGCTCTTGTTTTTTTTTTAATCATCCAACGCAAAAATTCTGAATCCCATTTTTTGCACCAATCAAAACATTTATAGAATACCACGTAACTATACCCTAAAACCACTGAATAACTTCTCCATATTATCACATGGTATGTACGCACCGACGATGGGTCCCACTTCAACTACCACAGAGGTTTGCCAGATTGTTTGATGGTGACTGTTAGATCGATCAATCTTTGTCATCATTAGGGGTAAGCAGTGGATATACCGATCCGCCAAAATTGACCGAACCGAACCGATTCGCCGCATTTTGGATGGATACGTGATGACGAGTGGACGGTTGCGGATTGATTTTCTCCAATTTGCCAATTTGGTGGACAGATGACGGATTTGAGATTCTTTTGGCCACAACCAAACCGCCAAACCGCGAGTACCCCTAATAATTTATAAGACTTTGTGTTTTCAATTTGTTTAAATATTTTGTTTGTGTATTCAATTGAAAATGAGTTTAAATATTCTGTTGAAAAAAAGTTTTCAACTTGAATATATTTTTTGAATTGAAAAAAATAAACATATTATTTATGTATATTTTTTGGTTTTTAAATCTAACTCTAAAAATAATTTATAGAAAATATAATATATGCTGGTTGATTTTTGTTTTCAAAAATATATATAGATGTAACAATACAGAAACATACAATCTCTACTACTGCTCTATTCATAGTTTTGGTGGTTTGAATTGTTTTTATATTTTAAGAACCACATATTGTAATACTTTATAGTGATTGTCAACTTTCTTTCTTTGGATGAGGCATGCAGTGATTGTAATACTTTTTTAAGTCATTGACTGTAATACTTTCATTTTTTTTTTTGAGGAAGTGCACAAGTTGAATTATGTTGAAAATTTATAAAATTTTAAACTGCCAAACCGATTCGTATCCATCTGTCAAACCGCCAATCCACTCAATTCACATCCGCCAGATTGGCGAACGGATGCGGATTGATTTTTCTAATCCATCAATCTAGCAAACGGATGATGAATTAGAGGTTTCGTGGCCATAACCGACTCGCGCTCACCTGTGGTCATCATTTTGTGATGGGGTACAACAATCATGTATAATCAGGACAATTTTTTTGATACATGTGGATACTGGGCATTGGGTACAAGCGTGACAAAAACTTTCAATCTAATCTTAATGACCCGTATATACTATATGTGTCCACGATAATCCCAAAAAAGTAAAACGAAAATCTTATTATTAGTTTTTGAACTAGAAAACGAAAATTATTTGGCATTCAATTTTTTGTCTTACTAATTTAATTTACATTTTTAATTTTGCCTATTTACTTTTAGTTTTTGATTTCTTTTTAAAAAAAAAAAAAAAAAAAAAAAAAAACTAACTAAAATATTCACTAAAAATCAATAAAAAACCAACAAACTTATAATCTAGCGGTAGGAACTCACTTCCCGCGTACAAGAGATTAGGGGCTTGACTCTCGCTAGAGCCAAGAGAGTTTGGCAGTTTTGGTAAAGGACCTTTTTAATTTTTGAATAATATTAGGAATTATCGTCATCCGCCACCCACCTGCCACCACCACCCACCACTCGCCACCGTCACCCACCACCACCAGCTACCCACCACCCACCACCCACCGTCACCACTTTCTACCACCGTCTTCCGCCGTCACTTGCCACCACTTGCCATTTCTCACTCTTTTTTATATTTTAAATTTTTTTGAAACATTTTGTCAATTACCAAACGTGTTTGTAGTTTATGTTTTTCGAAAAATAAACAAAAAATAAACAAAAATCAGTTTATAAAATTTTTGTAAATATAAACTGAAAACGAAAACGTTACCAAACACGCCCTATTTGACTTTTTAATTAGTTTAACCTGACTAAAAAAGTTGTGTTTAAGATAATAGTTTCTTTATTTATTTATTTTTGGTAGTTGATTTGATAGTTGTGAGAGAAATAGTGAAATGATTATGAGTTTGATGTAATATTTTATTTTATTGACTATTTTAACTTATTTTATCTTTATTAATTATTTTAAATAACCTCTAACCAAACAAGACCTTAGATACCATTAAAATCTTGTTTAAACATTCTAGAGTATAAATATTTAAAAAAAGAAGAAGAAGAAGAAGAAGAAGAAGAAGAAGAGGAGGAGGAGAGAGATTGATGAGGAGGAGGAGGAGGAGGAGAGAGAGAGAGAGAGAGAGAAAAAGTTAGAAGTGTTGGAAATAGTTATAAAATTTTGGATAAAATCAGAATTTTTTCTTAAGTTTGGTCTATTTTTTAGGTGGGCCCCGTGCGTCGATTTTTACGGGTCAAAGTGGTAACGCGTTCTATGCCGCGTTGTGATTCACGTGGTATATTTGGTTGCTCAAAGACATTACCGAGTGAATGGGAAATTGAAGCCAAAGTGTGCTCTATGGAAATGGAGTTTTGGTGAAAATTTCTTAAGGTTGTAAAATGGTTTGTCCCACATTGAATTGGTGGGAAGTTTTGAATGGGTTTATAAGGCTTGGGTTTGGTACTTGGGGTATGCCCCAAGGGGTACCCAAGTGTTTTAGAGGGAGAGGTTATGGGCTAGACCCATTGGACCCAAAAATCACCACACGCGCGCGCGCCAGCGCCGTCCGTCTGGTCGGGCGGCCTGGGCTTGGGCGCAGGTGTGAGGTTTGGTTGGGCTTGTTCGGCCCAATACTAATCTTTTTGGGCCAAAAACATTTAAATTTAATTTTATTTTGTATAAAATAAAATCCAGAATTCAAATTAAACCAGAAATAAACTGGTTTGGTTTTACTGTACATCCAAACATGGCCCTTTCCGTTTTTTGTATCTTTTTAAATTATGAACCCAACAGATTCAAATCTGTTTGAATTCAAAACCAACAGCTTTCATACCTGTTCAATTCAAAACCAGCAGCCACCTTTACATCTATAAATAGACTAGTCTCCCATTTGGATTTTACTCGAATTTTCGTACTCTATCCTCTGCTATAAATCTCTGCATTTTGCTGCATTTAATTTCTCAAAGAAAGAGTATAAACACTTAGTGTGTTCGTTAGGCAAACAATTTGTAGTGCTACTATTGTTTATAGTTGATCATTTCATCCTGGGAGATAGACGTCCACATTCTGAAAGTACCGAGGAGATGATGAATCTGTCTTAAGGACACAGTGTCAAACACTGGACTTGATCAGATATTTATTAGAAGAAATTAATCAAGTAATTTGTTTAATTTTTATTTTGTTTTATTTGTTTTAATTCAGATTTTAATTTTGTTTTTGTAACAAAATAAAATCTGTTTTTATTTATTTATTTATTTCTAGTTTGATTTTTGTAATCAAACAAATTCTCTCATTTCCTTTATTTTGTTTTTTATTTATTTATTTTTATTTCGAGTTTGATTTTTGTAATCAAACAAATTCTTTCATTTCCTTTATTTCTTTATATTCTGGTTGTTGTTTAGTACACAACAGAATTTAATTTATTTAAATACAGTGAAGATTGTCCAACAATCTTAAGATAGACCATTTTTTGGTATTTTCATTGTATTTAATTTTCTGTGATTTCATAAGACATATTCTGGTTGGAAAAACAAATAGTGGTTTATGCTATTTGACAGATAGTAGTAATATACTGTCTCTTTTCTTTGACAACTGGTAGTAATATACTGGAATCATTAACAATTGCAGAATATTAATTTGTGTTATAGAAAATTATTGTGATATTTTATTTTTCTAGTTTTAGTAACAAGGAAAATAAAATTACAGTATCCGCTGGGAAAATGACTTTTAGCGGCGTTTCAAAAACGCCGCTATATGTCTGAAAAACGCCGCTAATTCCTTTAGTGACGCTTACTACCAAAC